ATCATGAGGAGTCATTTCTTCAGTTAGTACCTGATGAGGTAAACAGAGTCAGTGGATACTTTCTGGAAGTTCCTGAGACTGGGGGACAGGGCAGCAGGTGGGAACTCTGCCCTTGTGCTTTGATTTCCAGTTCTCTCTTTAGTAATCAGGTCACTCAACAGTCTCCAAACTTTGTAACCAAAATAGTCTTGCTGGAGATGCTCAATCTTAGGCTCAGTAATAAGACACATTGAGGCATATTTATGACATACATCTGAGGTACTCATTTTGGGAAGAGGAGTGAAGGGTCATTATGACAAGACAAAACAAAAGGGACAAATGAATAGAAAACCAATCAATAAATGGATGGATATGTGGAAGGAGTCATACTTTGAGAGGGAATATTGAGGAATTCAGGGTGAGAGTAGTTGTCAGGGAATGAAGACGATGAGGACAAGAGTTCTACACACACACAGCTATGTGCTTGAAGAAAAGGAGTAGATCCATCTCCTTCATGCTTTAGTTGGTAAAAAATGTTGATGGCAGGACTGTCAAATTATTCCACAGAGATTTTGAAATCATGCAAAACGTAGTCTTTGAGGTCATTAGCAGGTAGGATGAGGACGAGAATTAACACCAGGTGAAAGGAGAAAGGTGTGGAGAAAGGAACCCTGGAGAACTTAGGAGGAAAAAGAGGCTGAAGAAGAAGGGTATCAAAAAGGAAAAGGTTAGAACCATGAGACTATTGGAGGGAATGTTGGAGGCAGCCTTAGGGAATGGGTAGGGGCAGAGAAGGCCAGAGCTAGGCTTCTTGGTGAGGAAGCTTAACCCCGTTCCTGGTAAGAGATTCCAGCAATTCTGTGCTACATCTGTCAGGCACTCATTATGTCTAACACACCAATGACTGATGGTCTTATTACATCAAACTTCAAAAAAAGATCAAGACTGTTTAGGAAGATACCTAAGAAAAAAAAAAAAAGATCAAGGTGCAATAAAAATGAACTCAGCGTTGCATAGTTTTATATTTTTTTCTAACCATTACATGCATTAATCATTACCTCAAAAAAGCAGCAAAAAGATAGAAGTGCCAAAAGTGGTAGAGAAAACGTGCCAACATTCAAAGAATAATTAACGAAAAGTGTTGCAGTTTTAACACCATAAATTAAAGTCAGTCCCAGTCTTTCCTAGTTCTTCTCAAGGGAGCCCAGGATCTCCATCCCCTGGATACGACCATGCCTGCTGCGTGTCCTGACATTGCCCCAGGCTACAAGTTTAATGAAAGCTTCATTACCATAGTTCTGAGTCTGGTGTCTGTCATATCTGAGTAAATCACCCAGCTATGAATCTCATGAACTCATTTACTGAGTAATTTTCTTGGTAATCTTTTTTTTTTTTTTGAGACGGAGTCTAGTTCTATCACCCAGGCCGGAGTGCAGTGGAGCTATCTGAGCTCACTGCAACCTCCACCTCCTGGGTTCAAGCTATTCTTCTGCCTCAGCCTCCCAAGTAGCTGGGATTACAGGCATGCATCACTGTTAATTCTTTTTTTTTTTTTTTTTTTTGTAGATACAAGGTTTTACCATGTTGGGAAGGCTAGTCTTGAACTCCTGACCTCAAATATTCCGCCCACCTTGGCCTCCCAAAGTGCTGGAATTACAGGCATGAGTCACCACCCCCAGCCGATCTTCTGTGATTTTCTAATTTTCACTTTATATAGAATGGGTTTTTACTTTTCAGAACTTCATTGTGGCTGGACCCCTGCATTCTGCTGAGGTCTGATGTGCTAAGTTCCTGATGCACTTCCTGCTCCTTGCCACCTTCTTCTCCTCTGGGATTAACATTCTCCCATCCATCCTCATCTTCCTACCCTCCCACACCAGGTGAGAAAGATTCAGCTCCCCAGTTGGCTGACTGGCATTCAGAGATAGGTTCCTGATTCCCTACCATGGAGAATTTGCTTGCAAGAGAAACACAGCATTATAAACTTGAACTTTCGAAAGGGTCAGTTAGACAAGCTGGCTGTGACATGAGGGTTAGTTTGGGAACTTGAAATGTAATATTCTTTCTGGCACAGAGGATTCAGTTGACCTCCAGGCTGTATGACTTAAGACAGCAATGGACAGTTTCCAGACCCCACTTGCAAGTGGGCAGGGTCAAAGCTTCTAATTCTGCTAGGCTGAGTCAGTTATTGGTGCCCAGATGGGTGTGGCTGAGAACACAGATGGCAGGTAATCATTAGGGGATGTTGGGATCGGCCTGGGACAGGCTGAACTTGACAGCTGTGGTTCTGATTCACACGGGCAGGCACCACTTCCCCCAAGGACTGTACAAGCCTCACCATCTTATACCATGTTGTTTTGTTGTGTGTGTTTATTTTTCTTTAGTTATCCCTTAGTTGTTAAGAAACTAGACATATAGATCACTGACCTAAAGATTCTTTACCCTAGAACAGTTTTGGTTGCTGTGCTTCACCTTGCAAGAACCCTTAGGTGGGGCTGCCAGCCAAGTCAGCTGACTTTACCTGCTCCTCACACATTATGACTTAGGCTGTTGTCCTGCTGCAGGGCCTGCCACAGAAATGTGGTTAACTCTTGACCCCAGGCTTTGTTACAGGTATACCTCTTTCCTGCTGTTCTTAGATGCAGGCTCATGTGCAGCTTTTGGCTAGGACCCAACAGTCACCATAAAAGACTGACCCTATCACTGTCACTAACTGCCTCTACAACCTTCAGCATATCACAGCACCTAGATTCCATGTTCCTTATTTGGAAGAGCAGGTGGAGAGGGGTTGGCCACTAAAGATGATGAAACGAAAGCTGCCATAATTCTAAGAGATTTAACCATTACTTTCTATAGGCATTGAACTCAGTGGCTCTAAATCAAACTATTTATTATCCTTAATTATGATTATATAAGACAAATTCTTCCCTTTAAACTACCTTAATGAAATAGAAATATTTAAAGACAACTACCAACTGTTCTCTTCCTCCTTCCCATCCTCCCTTCTCTTCCCCATTCTTCCTTTTCTTCCTTCCCTTCGTCCTTTCTTTATTTCTCAGTTTGAAATAAATAAGTTAGAAGTTCGAGTCACCTCTTTGCAGGGACAAATTATTCCAGAAAAAAGAAAACCTAGAAATATCTGGTCTAGATTATCCCTATTTATAACTTATGTATTTAAAACCCTTGGAATCCATCTATTATCTATCTATCTATCTATCTATCTATCCATCTATCTATCATCTTTAAACCCTTGGAATCCATCTATTATCTATGGGTCATCTATCCATCCATTTGTCATCTGTATTTCTAGAGAAATATCTATGCTTTTAGAGTTTAATAAGATAAAGTTTTGATTAGCTATTATTTTAAAATAATGTTAATCTAAAGCAACATTTAAAAACAGTATAGTCTTAACATTACCTGCATAGAGGAACCTGAGATGTTTGCTAAAAGTCCAGGAATCTGACTGCAGGCTGAGAACCAACAAGATTGCACACCCCTCCCTGCAACATTCTTAAGCACATCATATTCTGAGAACCCTGCATGTGAAGACTTTGAAACTACAATATACCATGCAATGTAAAGGACTATTTTGAAGTGGTAGCTAAGTGGTTGTGAGGGGTAAATATACCTCTGGGAGCCACCTCAAATCCCTTGTGGATATTAAAAGTATGAGTGAAATGAAAAGGGAATGTTATAAATAAATGAGTATGTAAAAATATCTCTAGCTATGTATCAACTTATTAATTCTGATGTTGAATGCTCTGTCCTACCCATTCTTCAAAGAGATGAAAACCTCTTTCCCATTAAAACTTGCCAGCCTGTTAGAACCCATAGAGCTATCTATCTGCTAGAATAATAATACTTTTTCAAATTTACCAGTATTTTTCAAAATATAGTCCAAAGAACTGTAGTTCATGAACTATCTCTACTACCACCAAACAAACAAGCAAACAAGCAAAGAGTGAGACACATTTGCAAAAGTCCAGCCTACATAAATTATGAAAACACTACAAATTATGTACCCACTATGTGAGCTCCATAGTGCACATTAGCTTATTAGAGATTATGAGAAGCCTTAAAAGAGGAAAATTTTAATGTTTTTAAACCAGAATTTCTAAATCTTATGTGACCAAGGAGTCTTTTAAAAAATCATGTTTATCAATTTCTCTCTTTTCCTCTTTTCCTCTCTCTTAAAGCTGGTTGTATATTTGATTGCTATTTAATTATGTGAAGCCTTAAATTATCTTTTAATTATTGTTTAACCCTTCATGCAAAATTATATGCACTCCATATATGTATATGTCATGCAGGATTGTGTATTTTTATTTATTGAGTGGATTATTCTGTTTTTGCCTGTTAGTAGTGCTGCTGCTAAATGTCCACATAATCTTTACTGATTGGAGTAGACTTTCTTGGTACCAATTAACTAGGATAAAATAGGCCCTGAGACAGAAAATGAAAATATTGATGGCAGGCTCTAGGTAAGCAAGAGATAACTCCATTCACCTTGGGTCTTGCTATCTCTTATGCTTTTACAGGATCATTGTTATAATGATGATAACATTAATACCACTTATTGTGCAGTTATGGTCTGTGATGTGGCAAGTACTTGTTATTTCTTTTAATGCTGAAAACAACCCAATAAAGCAAGCATTATTAATGCAATTTTCAGAGGATTATAGATACTTACAGTTGAAATCGACACAGAAATATAGCAAAGCTGGGTTTTGAACTCATTTCTAACTGACCTCAAAGCCCAGGATCACAACCATTCTGTCCATTGCCTGCTGAATCTAGAAATTCTCAACTGTGCTTCTAAGGTGGTAAAGTTTATAGGTAGCCTCTTCCATGGGATGTGAGGCTCGGAGCTAGACAAGGAAGTGACTCCCGAAGCTGAGGATAAACACATATATGCTCTAAATCACACCATCGCATGCCATGGTTTGCATGTATGTGTGTTTGTGTTTGTATTTGTGTTTGTGTGTGTGTGTGTTTATTTCTCTTTTGTTATTCCTTAGCTATTAATCAACCTCGCTGAAATATGCAGGCTCTACCTCAGTTGTGCTCTGAATAAGTAAAGAAAAGGTGAGGTGACTGTAAATGGACATAGAGCTCAAGAGGGAACAGTTCTTCTCACTCTGAATGGCCGCCGCTGTGATCATCAGCTAAGATCGACAGGAATTAGAAGAAAGTTGGAGAAAAGACTGGTGCCTCAAAGGTTGGCTGCCTGAGCCTTGAAAAAAAAACCCGTCTAATGTCTAGTATTTATTTTTAGAAATTTAGCATTAAAAAAAATCTTCTGTAACAGATAGCTAGTAAACTAATACTTTAAGGAAGGGACCATTTTTATTATTCATTTTAAGACCCCATAATGGTTAGCATGGCAACTTGTCCCAAGTAAGTGCTCCATAAATACTGGTTAATAAGAGAGACTGAGCCTCTCTTCAAGTTAAAGAAGGAAGGTGTTGGGTACAAAGACAAACTTCACTCAGCACATTGCATGTGCCAGAGTGCAATTTTAAGATAAATGAAGAAATATAACATCATTGTTTTTGATGTATACTCATTTGCTTAGGGTATATAGCCTAGTTAAGTTTTTAGTTGCTTATCAATTAAATGACATTTTGCCTTTTATGTGGTATCATTTAACAGCAGGCTACTAATCAGAATTTCACTGAGCTTTCAATTGCATGATGTAGTGAGACCTAAAATGGATATAATTTCAGGAAGTTGTTTTACCAAATTATTTTTGACCTGAGAAGGATATTCACAAAACAGTTATTTGCAGCTTCTATTATATTGAATGGTTTCTACTTAATTAAAATTGTGTCTCTAGCCTAGAAATTATTTTCTAAGAAATGCTTTCTGGCTAAATAAGATTGTTATATATAGGAGAACTAACTCTATCTACTGACTGCTGCTGCTTACTGAGGAGACAAATATATTTCCATAAAATTCAAATAAAATGTTTTTAGGTTCCAATCAAATGCCATCATCTACTGAGATGACTGAGATGACGCCTACTACCCTAAAGAAGTCAGGAATGAACTGCTTCAAGGCTAAGACATATTTGGCTCACATCTCTTGATATCGGCTAACACTGGAATCAGCATGGCCCAGTAGATAAAAACAATAAACAACACAAACAGAACAAAATACATAACTGAAAATAAAGACAACTGAATTCCAGTCCCAGCCCAGCCACTGTTGTGCTTTGTGGGTCTTGTTCTTGTACATTTCAAATCAAGGAGATGGAACTCGTTTATCTCATTGTTGTGAAGATGAAAAGTTGAGTAACTTGTGGATCTGGGTGGGACTGTATTAGGGATTGGTAGACTAAAACAATTGAAATGAAATGATCAATAGGAGACACTTCCATCAATAGGTAAGTTACAGTGGGTGGGATAATGAGCCCTTCAAACCACCAGCAAATCAGTAGGGTAAAGCTAGCACTTCAACACATTGGTGGTGGTGGTGGTGAGGGGGTGAGTTTATCAGCATTAAGCTTTTCTTTCATTAGTGGAAAACTCTGAGTAGAGTTTGTTTTTAAGATTTTCCTCTCTGTTGCCATGTTGTTTTGGAAATGGCCTACTGTTTGCGGAGACTCACTGTCATTCACTAGTCCCAATTTTAATCACTGTTTGATCTTACATTACACATGAAATGGTAGAAGAATAATTAAATTTTGTGTCACTGTCCCTGAAGACATATTTTCATATATTAATTGCTGATTAATCTTCTACTTTTTCTGTTGTTGCAGTTGTTATTCTGTGACATCTTCTCTACTTAAGCAGCTCACCCACGAGGCATCCAAAACAGAGAGAAAAAACAGAGTGAACATTTTGCCTTATGGAATTGTCAAAAGTTGCAGTCAAAACACAGGCAAGATTTGGAAGAATCTGTAATGAGCCAGGGCAAGTTTTCCTAGCTATAGAGGCTGGGGAAGGAGAGGGAATTAGAGATTGGCTGTTCCTGGAAACTCTCTGCCTGTACTCCATGACCTGAGTCCCAGGACCTGGAAGCGGCTGGACATCTGAGCTATAGGAGAGACTGGTGCTGCCTTTCTGAGGAGGGCTTGGGAAAACAGCAAGTTCCCTGAATTTTTCCATGGCACAGGAGCAGATGAAATGTCATGAATGGTGTCCAGGCCAGTGGACTGAGTTAGCTCCTGAGAGTCCCTGTACTCTCCAGCATGGCACGAGGAGAAGCAGACCATTCTCCCATGCAACCATAGGAAAATGGTACAAACATGACACCGAAATTCAGCTGACCGCAAGAGCTTGATGGTCAGTGTGAGCCAGATGGAGCAGGAACATGTACGGATGGAAAACCTAGATCCAAAGTTCATTCCCCTCTCCTGCTGATGTTCCAGCACATTGCAAGCTTTCCCAGAAACTTAGAGGCAACCTTGGCACAAGGACATGATTTGTTGGAAATTAAGTTTTGTCACCTGGGGGACTGTGAGCTTGATATGGAAATTAATTCAGTTATATAATTATAAAAAAAATGTGCTTCCTACACATCTGATTTTGTGAACCCAAATTAGTTTCCACAACACAACTGTATTAACATTTGCCAACCTCTGGTGCAACATTTGTTGTCTTTGTTGCATTTTTCTAGAAGTTTTCAGCTCTAACCCATCTTTCCCTGCTTTATTTTCATTTCTAAATTCTGGTGAGTGGTGTTTTGGTAAGTAGCTATCAGTTATTTTTCTGTCTTACTTGAAAAGTCTTCTCTGTATTAAATAACAAAGGTCACTTAGATAAATATCTTATTATTACCAGAAGAAAAAAAAAAAAAAATCCTATACATTACTTCTATTATCTTTCAATCCAGAAAAAAAAAAAAAAACATGGCAAGAGGACAAGTTTTTGAATGTTATGAATCATGATTTCTGTGTCTAAAATCTGCTCTTTTGTGTGTGTGTGTGTGTGTGTCCTTCAAAGTGGTTCATCTTGGTTTTTTACCGTGTGTGTGTGTGTGTGTGTGTGTGCGCGCGCGTGTGTGGAAAAACCAAAGTTTCCTATTATTTTCGAAGGTGTTTGACCCTGCTGGAAGACAGCTATGTATAAGGTGAAATTGGCAGAGAGAAAGGGAAACCGGATCTTATTCCCAGGCCTCCTGTCACCAGCTGTGTGACTTTGCTGAAGTCATTTCTTTCCCCTAAGTCTCGGTTCCCATACCTATAAAGTGAGTGTTCTGCCTGGGTGTCTTTTAGGTCTTTATTAATGTTGAAATATCCTGACTTTATGGGTTCTCATTCACTGTGATGTGGTAACCAAAACAAGCAGAGATTAATAACCCAGGACTCAATAATGTAAAACACAAAAATTGTATTTTTGCAAATTTTTGTAAATGCGGGATCATGTGACAGTATTGGTGTGATCCATAACTCTACATTTAGTGGATAAACAGAATGTAACTTAGAAGCGTTATCTTTGTTATCAGGGAAACGTGGAGTTGGATGTATATGATGGGGATGGGCAGTTAATTCATAGGTTGAACACCCAATGAGGGAATATCTCTGCATCACTATCTCCAAACACTCCCCACTCTTCCTCAATTTTCTTAGTAACTCACTGCTCAGACTGGGTTTCCCCAGAAGCAGACTATGAGACCAGGATTTGATGCAAGCAGTTTTTTTGGAATTGATCCCAGAAAGACTGATAAGAGAGTAGAGAAGTAACACAGAGAAGTGAAGAAAGCTAATAGAAGGTCCCGGTGCTCTCTCCTGAAAGAGACTGCTGGAGGACTGAGTAGAACATACCCTAGAGTTGTCCCCCTCTGCTGGGGCAAGAGAACTAGGGTACCGATCAGCTAATTTCCATCCTTCACTGGTTAAGGGCATTAACCTCCCCAAACTTCTGGCCTGTGCCCCAGATAGACCAGGCATGCTTCCGTGGCCAGAGAAAGCCCAAGGGTGGAGAGTCACAGATGCTTGTGGTAGGTAGCAGGTGGTGTGTATGGAAATGGGAATGGGAAGCCAAGGGGATTTGGGCAGGGCACCAAGCATCTGCCGCATTACCCTAATCCAGGCAATAACACTCGCAATATCCCAGGGATTCCCCTTGTAGCCTCGAATTCCTCTTATTCTCATTTATTTTGCATTTACCTTCTAGAACATAGTTTCTTAGATAGTAAAGGTCCTACTGACTTTCCTCATTTCTGTGCAACCTCCTTTCCTGCTTAGCTTCTCTTCTGTGGTCAAGCCAATATACACAGAATTTTGCCTTCCATTCTTTGCTAAGGTGTTTCTTCTACTTGGAATCTGTGCCTCAGTCATTTTCACTAATCCATGTCCCTCCCAGTACACAGAGTTTTCACAGAAAACATAGTTAATCCTTTAAAAATATATTTTTAGATTGAATTGCATGCCCCTCTTAGGGTTTCTTTCTTTCCAAACGCCTTTTCTTAATCCCAATTTAAGAATTTCTTTAGCCAGTACTACAACCATGCAGTCCTTGTTCTCCACTTCTTTCCTTTTATCTACTCAATGTTATTAATCTTTTTAGTGTAAACATCAGTGACTCAAGCAAGCCTTTTCTAATCCCCATGATTAGGATGAGTTTTTGTGTTACCTGCTCCAAAAGGTTTGTCCTTTGTAATGCTCACCACATTTCAGGTTTCTGTTCACTATTAGCTATCCAGACACACTTCAAAGGCCATGAGGCCTGATACCATGATTTTGCTGCACTCCTAGACCTGGCCTACTGGTACATAGTAGGCATTGATAAAAATCTGCTGGAGCATTGCATAAATAAACTATGCCATTTGGGACTGATTAACATTTTAAAGAATAATTGATTTTACTTCTTCCAAGCATTTTTCTAGTGAATTTATAAATACATTAAAGGTGGAGGCTGTTTCTCTTGCATCCCCTCTGGAGTGCTATATGCAATGTACCTCATACAGTAGGAGCTTCAAAATGTTAGTAAAGTGAATACACACACACACACACACACACACACGGAGGTAACTGCAAGGTCTCAGAGTATACGCTTTGGTAAGAGTTTACTTGGACCATTGGAGCATGCTGTTCTCTCTCACGTGACACATAGCAACAATTCGAATAGAGTAAATCAGGCAGGATACAATGGCTCATACCTCTAATCCCAGTACTTTGGGAGGCTGAGGCAGGAGAATCATTTGAGGCCAGGAGTTAGAGACCAGCCTGGACAACCTAATGAGACACCATTTCTTCAAAAAGCAGAAACATTAGCTGGGTATGGTGGTTCACCTGTAGTTCTAGCTACTTGGGAGACTGAGGTGGGAGGATTGCCTGAGTCCAGGAGTTCGAGGTTATAGTGAGCTATGATTGCCCCACTGCACTCCAACCTGGGTGACAGAGTGAACCACTGTTTCTAAAACAAAATAAATAAAATAAAATAAAATGAGTGAATTAATTGCTGGAGAGGTACTAAGTAATAAAATTGGACTTCAAATGGAAAAGCAATAAAAAAAAAAATAGGTCCTGTGATTTGGAAGAGTAAAAAAAAAGCTGAAAATAGACACTAATCGTAAATGTGTAGGATGCTAGGAAAAAAAAAATTTTGGGATATGTGTGGTAATTGGTGTTAATAACAAACATACCAAGAAAAACAAATTGGTTTAAAGAATAAAAAGAAACACAGGATTTGCAGTCATTAATTTTGTAGAAAAATGTAGGTGAGAGAAAAAGGAAAAAAGCAAACTAAATTTTTTGAAAACAAGTTCATCAGCATAAGAATGATACAATGGACTTTGGGAACTTAGGGGCAAGAGTGTGAGAGGGTGAGGGAAAAAAGACTAAACACTGGGTACAGTGCTCAGGTGATGGGTGCACCAAAATCTCAGAAATCACCACTAAAGAACTTACCCATGTAACCAAGCACCACCGGTTCTCCAAAAACTATTGAAATTTTAAAAAAATTAAAAAGAGATCAATATGTATTAAAATATCAGTGACACTTTTGAGAAGACCTAGTGTTTAACAGAATAATATCAATAATCACCGAAGAAAACTATTTTGAAATGTGTTGTGCTTCACTGGTATAACTATAATTAGAGAATAAGCAGAATAGAAGAAAATTATCTTCACATCTATTTTATCTATTTATGGATGCAATTTCCAAAATACATACGCAGAATTTTTTCTAAACAGAAGCATGAAAATAAAAAAGTATTTCAAAATAAAAGTGCTTTGGCTGAAGCACTTGATAGAGTATGATAGGAAATTTCATTCGCCCATTCTATTCAAACCAAATCGGGTAGAAGCCTGCTGGCTTTTCTTCAATGTTATCTCAAAAACAGAAAAGAAAAAAAAGTATGTGATAAAGTTACAGGCTACATAGGCCATCTTTGAACAACATATAAAGACTGTATATGAACAAACATATACACAACAGATATACATGATTTAGATTTTAGTGTCTTTTAACATTTTCTGCAGACATTTCAAATATATATATATACACACACAAATATTAACAAGGATACAGAAATCTAGATGTGCCTGATTTTATGTTTTTTTGTGCAGCATTGATTTGCTTTGAAGCCATTTGTCTCTAACCTATCTTTCTGAAAAAATGTGCACATGCCGACACAAACGTGTGTGTAGTAGTACCCTGGTAAACGCTGTACTTGCTGAATGTTCTTGTACGCTCTTAGCCATCCAGGGCTTCATGACCAAATGAACGTGCCGACCCATTGAGCAAGAACCCACCATGCTGCAAATTCTCACCTTCAGAGAGAGCTGCACTGTGCTGTCCCAAGCTGAGTGTGCTCTGCAGTGTGTGTGGGTCACTGCACTGGGGCCTCTCTTTTTGTCATGTGTTTTGTGGTCTTGTCTACAATTTGGAAAGACTGTGGCTTCCGGAAGGGGTGTAAATAATCAGCTTGCAAGAAAACACAGGTAGAGTATCATGGTTGATGACAAAATGCATCTTTAATAGTGACTTGAGGTATTTTCAGAGAAATTGTCAAGTAGAATTGAACAAATGAGAGGCGATTAGAGGTATTGTTGATCTTCAACATTGTGAAAGGCACCACTCATAATTGTAGCTGTAGGAGGTTGGATCAATATTTTGTGAATAACGGCTGGAAGAACCGATGGCCTGAGACGTCATAACTTCATGAAATTTGAAGAAAGCACAAAAGCAATTGTCAATTTTAAATGCTAAGAAAGAATAGCTATCCCTTAGTATCCATGAGCAACTGGTTCAAGGACCTTCTCTGGATACCAAAATCTAAGGATGCTCAAGTCCTTAATATAAAATGGAGTGGTACTTGCATATAATCTATGCTCTTCCTCCTGTGTACTTTAAATCATCTCTAGATTACTTGTAATACCTAATACAATGTAAATGCTATGTAAACAGCTGTTATGCTGTATTGTTTAGGGAGTAACAACAATTTTTTTTTACTGTACATGTCCAGTACAAACACAATTTTTTCTCGAGTGTTTTTTTTTGATCCACAGTTGGTTCAATCCCTGAATGTGGAACCCACCGATGTAGAGGGTCAAATGTATTTCCATAGAAGACTTTATATATATATATATAGGACCTCAGGAAGGCAACCTCTTGGAATAATAGTATATATATATATCACAGAGTCCCAAATGTTATTGACAAATATGCATTCATAATTTTTTTTACCTGATTCTCAGTCAGTGTGCATAATTCATAATATTTTAAAAGGTTGAAAATAAGATAAAATTCAGTTAAAATACCAAATGTTAGCCTCAGAGCTAAATACTTTCTAACAGCTCCAAGACATAAAAAGAAAGGAATGTTCAAATTGATGAACATTATTAAAGACAAGGACATTTTCATTTATAAAAGAGAGAAAGTATTTAAAGTAAGTTCTTTATACTTCTAACTAAAATGCTTTTCATTTTTAACTCATATAGCTATGTAAAAAATAATGTAATGCTCCTTGTACACATCTTTTTACTTATAGTAGCCTTGAGAAAAATTACACATAGGTAGTTTAACTTGCTCAAACCCATCAAAAATTAAGGGAAATTGAAGAAAACAGTATTAAGGATTTTATTCACATTTAAGTTGCTATTGCATGCAGCAAGAGATTAAAGGAACCATAAGATAAAGACTCTGACTTCTGTGAGTATATGCCCCAGTAGAAGAGCATATAGAATTGGGTTTGAAATCATTGCTTTTTAAAGTATTTGTCAGCTTACTTGTGACACTCAACCTGTTACTCTCATCCAATAATATGGTACTAATATTTATCTGTCTATAGCCTCCTCCACACTTCTTGTAAGATACTGAGTTTAATTTTCTCTTCTCATTCAGAGCAAGCTAATGGGAGTCAAGGATGAACAGAAATTCCCTCTGCAGCTGAGGCAGGAGAATTGCTTAGACCCAGGAGACGGAGTTTGCAATGAGCCAAAAAAAAACCACTGCATTCCAGCCTGGCGACAGAGCAAGACTCCGTCTCAAAAAAAAGTTTCCTCTGTCTATCGCATCACCTCAAGTCTGCTTATGACGCTGTACTCAGCTAGTACGATACTCCATGGATTCTTGACCACTTAAAAATCTCGTCCTTCAGGCCTTTTATTGATTTTGGAGTATATAATAAATATCCTTCAATTATTTTGGGTGCTTTATAGCCAGGTTTGTTTTTTTTCTAGGCAGCCACAATCTTGACTAGTATGAAAGTTGGTTCCAGGAGCAGATTATATACCAGATCTCAGGGAAAAGGAGGAAGTCTGGGATTGTACTTGGCATAATTAGGGTTAAAAGCAGTGAAAATGCAGTTGTGTCAGTGATTGAAGGATGACAGACTATGGTAAGCAACGACAAAACGGTTAACTTTCCTGTCATCATTTGGAATCCAGTGCAGATTGAAGATCAGGCTTTGGGTATAAATTTGCTGATGTTGAACAACAGCTGAAAAAAATAAAAAAAACATGTGAGGGGCTGCTTTTAGACATACTAAGTGGCTTGGATAAAAAAAAGAATGACAATTTCAAATATTAAATTCTTGGGTCACAAACTTAAGCTTAGAGAACTTTACCTGATGATGCTAGCAGAATATTTGGACTCTTAAAGCTGTAGAGATGAGGTATCCAAAAAATCAATACAAAGGTTAGTCTTGAGTTTCCAAGTTAACACATTATTTATCCCCTCTTCAGCTTCTTTGGTGAGAGTTAAAATATTAAATGGGACAGAGTGACATTCTGAATATTAAAATTTTTTTTTATGGGAGGATTTGAAGGGCTTGAAATAGCCACAAAACCCAATTTTTTTAAGCTTCCCTTGCCAGTTGATGCATTCAAAATAGCTCAGGTAAAACCACCCTCTTCCCCCCATTTTCATTTCAAATTGGTAACTGAAGTTGGATTTCAGCATACTAATTTATGTTGTCAAACTTTGTAATAGTTTAATACAAAAAAAATACAAAATAAATATACTTAACAATTTGTATAATAAAATACCTAGGGGAAAATATGTCTTATTAAATTCCAAACATGCTTAACCAAAAAGTGAATAAATGTAGTTTTAGGTTAGTCTATTTTTTTTCGTATAGTGCAATTATCTGGATTCACTGAGAGGGCAAGGTACTTTTAATACAGGAAGCTGTATAGATTATTGATCATGCTAAAGAAAATTAAGATGCCATAAATTATTTACAATAGTACCTAGAAAGAAATAAAATGACTGAATTTAAAACATGAATCTCATCTACTTCCTAACTATGTTGCCTAAGTAGACATAGATGACCATCTTTTTGCTAAGACCTTGAGAAACACTTCAGTGAGGGAACTACTAGTACCTACAAAAATGTGATTGTGGCTTATCTTGTCAGTTGGGGATATTGATGGGAGGGACTGATATTGAAATAGTCTGTTTGATTACAATGGAGATTGGAAAGATCCTATGATTGAGAAGGGCAGGTGCAGAAGTCAGGCACTTAACCTCCAGAGGCTAGTTATTTGTGCTTTCCCTAATAGAGACACATAGATATTTAACACTGATTTATTGATCATGGAGTCTATAGATCTGAGATATATAGGCAACTCACAAAGTTCCTAATAAATTTGCATAAAATCACCATGACTCAGGATAAAGCTTACCAAAAGAAAGAGTCATTACCTTATTTCTAGACCTGTGGTCATTTTCTGGTATAAGTATATTCTGAAGAAAAGAATATAAGTAGACCTTTCAGTTGTTTTAAGATAATGGCTCTCAAATTACACATTTCTAATATAGAAAAATGGCACTGTGGTTCAATGGTCAGACTAGAAATGTATTATGTTCAGGTAATAAATAGAGTCTTGACCCAAGCCCATCTCACTGTAGGCATACAGCGACCTACAGACACATCCTCTTCTCTTTTCCTTCATTTCCTGTGTGTTCTTGGAAAAGATATTTTAGGCAATTGGCTAAATACTCACATTTACTTCTTAACTCAGGAATAAGAGTTGTTATGAAAAAAAAAAACAAGGATGGAAGTCCTGGATCTCACCTTCCTTACTAAAAGAAAAAAACAAGAGCAATAGGATATTCCCATAGAATCTGAGAGATTAGTGCTACCATCAATGACTGAAATGGTAGGTTGTGGTCATTTCTATCGCAGCTCCATTTAACTCTCCAATTAGGTTGATGGGGAAGACAGATGGGTCTTGGAGAATGAGTGTGGATTATTGTAAGCTTAATTAGGTGGTGCCTCCAAGTGCAGCTGCTGTTCCAGATGTTGTCTCCTCCCTAACTCATATCAACAGAGCTCCCGGCAATCAGTCCAGGCTGCAGTGCAATCAACTCTACCTGGCAGCCCATATGATCCAGCAGATCCAATGAAGCTTGAAGAGTTTGTAGCAGATTGGGATGCTTTATGGAGCTGCAGTAGTAAATTCACAGTCAAGACCTCTAATGTCATTTAAAAAATAAAAGTTATGACCTCTCCAGCAAGTAACTAGTCCTATTTTGAGAAACAACTCTTGAAATGCTACTGGACCTTGGTAGAGACTAAATGCCTGGCATTATCATCTGAATTTCCCATTATGAACCGATCATAAGCTCATTCACTAAAAAGTAAAGTGAGGAATCCACAGCAGTACTCCATCAAGTGAAATCCACACATTCCCATGCGCCTGCACACACACACACACACACACACACACACACACAGAGAGGAATGGTTCCAAGCCAATCTTAAATGCATATGTTAAATCGTACGAGGAGGATTGTCATCTTCCTGGGTATCATCCTGCTACCCCGCTGCTCTCTCTCAACCCCAATGGCCTCATGGAGGGATTCCTGTGACTAGTTAGTAGCCTGAGATGCCAGATAAATCAATAAATGGATAGATATGTAGATAGATAGATAGCTCTTGGTTTACAGATGCTTCTTCCCGATTTCCTGGGGCCAGCATTGGTGGACTTATAGTAAGGGATTGTACTTCTTAATTCAATGCTGGTCCTAAAGGGAAGTAAACCTGTTGTCTAATTTGCCTGGAAGAAGTCATAGATTGAGTTAAGTAATAACAAAAACCAGTGGGTAATGATTAATAATTTGAGCAGATAGTCAGAAACTTAGAAGTAACAAGACTATTTTGGTAGAGGGTAGTGGATATCTTTTTCCATCTGAATGCTCTCAGAGTGGAAAAATATTAATGTAGTATTTGAATGCTTATTAAGAGTCTCTTCAGGTTCAGGATATGATAACCCATTCTCTAGATGTCAGTCAGTCTCCTTGCCCATTCTCCTCATGCTTGCATAAAGATCTCATGAATTACGTAGCAATGGTGATAGTGAAACCCATTGTGTTGGACTGAATGATGGTGCCCAAAAGATATGCCCACATCCTAATCCCCAGAATCTGTGAATATGACCTTATTTGAGAAACAGCCTTTACAGGTCTAATAAAGTTAAGGAATTTGAGACAAGGTCACCTGGATTTCCTGAATAGCTACTAAATCCATCGAAAAGTACCCTTATAAGAGATGGAACAATAGCCAAGATGTGGAAGCAAACTAAGTGTCCATCAACGGATGAATAGTGGTATATATAAAGGATGGAATATTATTCAGCCACAGAAAAGAAAACCCTGTCATTCATGGAAACATGGATGAGCCTGGAGCTCATTATGTGAAGTGCAAAAAGCTAGGTACAGAAAGACAAATATTATATGTTCTCACTCATATGTGGGAGCTTTGAAAGTTGATCTCATGGAGGTAGAGAGTACAATCATGGTTACTGCAGGCTGGAAAGCATAATGGGAAGGAGGGATGAAGAGAAGTTGGTTAATGGGTGCAAAATTATGGTTATAGAGAAGAAATATGTTCTAGTGTTAGCACAGTCATGTGACTATGGTTAGCAACAATTTATTGTATGTTTAAAAATATCTAGAAGAGAAGATTTGGGCTCTAAATATGAATAAATGATAAATGTTTTAGGGGGTGGATACCCCAATTACCCTGATTTGATTACTACATAGTATATGCATATATTAAAATATCACATGTACATCCAAATGTGTACAATTATTATGTATTAATTTTTTTAAAAAGAGGCAGTGGAGGAGAAGAGAGACACAGAGAAGGCCATGTGAAAAGATGGAGGCAGGATTGGAGTCATGTAGTCAAAAACTGAAGGATACCTGGGGTCACTAGAAGCTGAAAGAAGCAAGAAAGGAGATTCCCCTAGAGTCTTCAGGAGGAACAAGCTCCTACTGATGTCCTAATTCTGACTTCTGGACCCCAGAACTGTGAGAGAATGAATTTTTGTTGTTTTAAGATACCGAGTTTACGGCAATTTGTTACAACAGCCAGATGGACAAATATACTAAGGAGAGACTTCTCTATTTTATTTTGCTATCACTAATGCTGAGGGCTCAATTTTTCCAGTAGAATCATTAGTCCACTTTTTTTTAAGGAGCTAGAACCTGGGTGGGACTTTGGGCAAGGTGATTACTTTTTTTAGTGGGACATCAAGTATTTGTGCCAACTGAAAAACACCTTAAGGATATGGACTGGATTTATTTTTTCTGCCTATTGTATTTCTAGAAGCACTATTAATTATGAACTTAACAGATACCTTTTAGCTCATCAGAATATGTCGTCCAACATTTCTCTGGCCATGAAATTGTTATTTTGTGAGTGAAATCAGGTAATGTGCTGCTGGTCATGGGATAATTGGTTTTATCACGTACCCTGTTATCCCAGAGCAGCTAACTTACAGCATTGGAGGATCTCTTACAGTTTCGTTTAGGAGATCTCCTTATGAGATTGGAAAGCCTGTTCAGGAGAGCAGCATATGGAATGATTTCTCTCAGAGATAGACAATATGTGAGTCTGGAGAAGAAGGATGATAGAAAATTTGATGCTTTTCAGGTTACAGCTCATAATGTGCCCTAGAAATTGTGCTAACTCCAAACACTTCT